TTGCGATAAAAGTTTTGCCTTTCGCGGAACAGAGGAAACGAACACGTGGATAAAAAGCGGCTTAAAAACACCGAAAAAGCCGAAAAAGAAACGGTTATGTATGTGAAAAAACGCAGAAAGAAAAATTATGAGAAATGGAATAGTCAAGCGTAAAATGCGCAGATTTTAGTTACTTTTAGTTAATTACATGCTTTTATACCTGATTTTTCTGCACTAATAAAAATCTACCAGCATATTTCTAGTAGCAGACTATCAAAACGTTTGAATAAATAGTCTGCAGATGAACCAGGTATATTGTATAATTGCGCAGCATATTTCGTTTTAGTATAATTATCTGCTCGACTTCGGAAAACATTCTCTGACGATCCCAGAAACCAATAACGTAATTTCTCTAAATGTAATTCATTTAAGAAAGAAAATACCATTCGGTAAAAATCTATATTGTTTGTTATTTATGAAACCAAACTTTGAAATAATACTGCAACTCTGTAGTAACAGATCTGCATTAACTTTTAAACTCTGGCATTTTAACTTAATTGCATTACTTTTACCTCTTTACCAAACATATTTCCTGCACTATTCTCAGTGTTCGGCCTCATCTTGCAGTATAAATATGTCGTTGCACAGTTCTGAGCGTTCGACCAATTCAAAATGTACGTAAATGCTTTCAATTACAGATTTTCTTGCAGTTATCAATCTTAGAACCACCAATTAATTGATTGAATTACATTAAGTTCACCTGATCTCGTTTGACACATATTTTCTACACTATTCTTAGTCTTCGGTCCAATTCTGAATCTGAGTCAATTCCTCCAGTTACAGATTTTCTTGAAGAATACAATCTTAAAACGACTAATTAATTTAATTTTTTTCATGAACGGTACAATGGCTATGCAATTCACTCGTGTATTTGTGTAGCGCAATATAATTGAAAATAAACGACCAGCTCTATTGCACAAAATAAAAGTAACAAAAATAAAGAATAATAATATTCAACAGCCAAATTAACTAAAATAATGTTATTTGCCCTTATTTTTAAGGAAATATGGTGTGCATAGGTAGAAAGATCGAATATGAAAAGATAATTTTGCACTATAGATTGTATAACTATAGAAAACACGAAAACTAAGAACAAAAAAATAAAAGAAAAATACTAGTTCAGACGTAAAAATAAAAAAATTCTCGTTAGAAACCCAGGACCAAACATATCTAAGTTTAGACCATTAAGTTTGAAGAAATTGAGACAGAAAATGAGCTTAGATGGTGAAGAAAGTTAAGAATGACCAAGAAAATGAACCTGAAATTCCAGCAAAATATGATCTTTCGTTTGGTATCATCTGCAGCCTTCAAGCCTACAGTTTAAACAATAATTTCTTCAGCTGACTTAATTTGAAAGAGCACAGGTCCCTACATATTTTTGAAAAGTTGTTTGATAAAAAGCTTTTCCCAACGTACTTAAAGGAATTAAATTAAAAAAATTAATTTTTTCGAAAACATTCTTCATTTTAAAATTTAAATATCTCACGAAGGAACCGCCACAGGTGATACCCTCCATTTCTAATGAGTTATACCTCAACTGATAGGGTATATCGAGCTAGTAAAAACCCTAAAAGGATTCGGGTTCGTGGCTCTTGACGACCCGATTTTCTGAAAAACCAGTTTTTCAGAAACTCTAAAAAATAACTAAAACCTATCTCAATGAAGCATAATTGTAGCCCACAAATTTCTGATTAAAACGAGACATCTTCCAGCTCTACACGACCTTTCTTTGCAAAGTTATAGAATTTGCAAGAAAAGCCCTAAAAATTAATTTTTTCCTTATTTCTGTAGCTTTGAGCTGATAAGGAACATTTAGGGCTTTTCTTGTAAATTCTATAACTTTGCAAAGAAAGGTCGTGTAGAGCTGGAAGATGTCTCGTTTTAATCAGAAATTTGTGGGCTACAATTATGCTTCATTGAGATAGGTTTTAGTTATTTTTAGAGTTAAAGTCGGGTCTTCAAAAGCCATGAACCCGAATCCTTTTAAGGTTTTTACTAGCTCGATATACTCTATCCATTGAGGTATAACTCATTAGAAACGGAGGGTAGCACCTACGGCGGTTCCCTCGTCAGCTAGCATAAAACATAAATAAAATACTTTTTTTACCATTCGATAGCCACTCTAATTCTCGAAAACCAATGTAGATTAGTTTTTGCGAACAGTGCTTTCTCAGCTTGTTACAATGATAATGCCAATGTCCATTTGAATGCACATGTAGCTTTAAAGGGTTAAGATCGACTTTCTTAGACTTCTTAAATTTGTCCAAATTATACATATCTAAAGAGAATTCAACTATATTAAATTTGAAAGCCATAAAAAATGGCTTCTCGACGTGTGGAACATTTTATGGTCACGGACAAGGTTTAAAGTTGCTTTCTTCTTGAGTTGTGCCGTTAAAGGTGCACGATAGTAACGAATTTAAAATTTAAAAATGGTAGTTTTTTATGCAAATTCGCCTAATCTACCTAATTATGTTGTACCCTTGAAGGTTATTAGGTAAAAGTTTGAAATTTTTATAAGATGATTCCGATAATAATAACGAAGAAGACTATTAAGGAAAATGATGCCCGCGATGCAGAAAATTCATCGTCAAGTAGTGATGAAAACAGGAATTGCTACCCATTAATCCAAAAATTAATCAAGATACTAAAAAAGTTGTTAATTCAAGTACAAAACGGGTTCGCGGTGACTCTGCTGGGTAAGTACTACTATTATATACTCAATAGGACACTTTCAATTATATTTTCTACTTTCATTAGTGATAGTGTTGGTGCAGTAAGAAAAAATCCTATGAACTATTGAGTATTGAGCCCGTTGACGTACAGGATTGATTCCAACAACGTAGGAAAGTGTGAATTAAAAAATGATTCAGTAAGTAAAAACTCCAACACATAAAAACATACTTCTAAGGTGTAGGTAAAATAAAAGGTCTTTATTTCTTCTTGGGACACTGTTAAAATCCTGGCTACGCCACTATCGGTAAATTGTAGACTTTTTCATTTAAGATAGCATGGCTGCTAGCGGTCAGGAATAAAGTGTGGATGTGTGCCTCTCAGACACTAATGAGAGTAAATTGAATTTTTTTGGGTTTCGAGTGTTTACCGCCAAGTTTCTTTTGTCAATGTATAGGTTTTAAGTGATGCTCTTTACGATGGAACAGTCAAAATCTGGATTTCTTAATTTTATTATTCATCCGGTGTGAGTACTGCCTTTGTCGATATGAATTTGCCTGATTAAGATAAATTTTCCTCAAGAATTAAACAGAAAAACATTTTAAAAATTTCTGGTGTTCCTCAAGGCAGTGTGCTTGGTCCTCTTTTATTTCTTATTTTATTAATGATCTACCTCTGTCGCTTCCACCTAATTGTGAAATCTGTCTCTTTGCTGATGAGGTTTTTCTCCGCAAACGGTGCATGCTTCTTTTTTTTATTCAACTATTGTTGATTGGAATAATCTCCCATAGTCAGTTATTTGTCTTTCTTCTTTAACGTCTTTCAAAACAGCTTTTTCCGAGTTACATTTGGAGAAAGCTAATTACGCAAGAAGATATAATTGTTTTATGAAGTAAATTAGAATCATTTTTCAAATTGAACGAAAAATTCAGTATTGCAAATGTAGATGGCAGTAGTACGTGACGAAGATGCAACAATTGCTTATTGTTTTGTTCATCTTTTATTACGCGGCGACACTTACCGTAGTGAACGCACTTGATTACGTGGTACGCAGTTGAAAAAAACTGGTCAGTATCTTCAGAATTACTTACTTGCTATGTACTTCTACAAGCAGGCTCATCTTCGTCTCGGCCTTCAAAGCAGGATGGTGGTAATATAACGTAATTTCGGCCAAATAATAAAATAATTAGTATTTATACACTGTATGGAATATATTGGGTTGTCATCCATTCAAGATTTAACTATAGCTTATAACAATTACTAATTATTAATTTATCCAAATAGTTGATCAGTTTGCTTTTTAGCGTATCGGCCTTTTTATTTCAAAAAAGACACATTTTACTAAAGGAAAAACAAAAGATCTTAAGACACAGGGTGATCCTGCCGTTTTATGAACGTTTTATAAAGAAGTTTTATTTTTGACTTTCTTCGTCACAAATAGTGTTTTTGCAACTTTTTAATTATTTTGGTTTTTCGAACTTTCTAGCTCCAGTCGTAAGACCAGGGTACTATCTTGAGTACCAAACCCAGGTAGAGTATTATGTTGTGTTATGTAAGCGGAGTACTGGTTCCAGTATCTTCGCATAGTACATTCATTAGAGTGTAAACCAGTTTTATTTAAACTTTTAGAGTGTCTATTTTGAAAAAGGAGAAAGTGTGCCTCTTCATATCGCTGTCTAGGTATTATATCATGAACTTTTTACAGTACGCATATTAACGAGAAAATTTCTCAATTAGATTGATATGCCACGGTTTCTACACTTCTTTTAGGTAACTTTTAAATCTCCTTCTACGATACAATTGAACATCCCTTATTAGAAGAGAGCACTATTCTATGATGTGTTAGCCGAAAAGAACATGGTATATTGCGGATAAAAATCGGTGAACTGTTAGAAAATTTTGTAAAAAATGACTAAACTGGAAAGGATTATGTATCTACATTTTTCACGAAATTTTCGTTATCATCAAGTTGCTGCTGAATTATATCGTATTCATGAGAAGAGAGTTACGGTAAATACAAGAATTTCGAGGAATGGCAGTAGCTCTTTCTGATAAATTTCGGATAGAACAACTGAGCGAATTACTTATTTTTGATTTTTAATAAGTAATGAAGTAAAACCTTTATGTATTAAAGAGAAATAAAGAGAATGTTTTTATTATATTTAAAAAACGAATCGTACAATAATCAAGTCTAATATAGCTCGTCATGTGAAAAAGAAGTAAATTTCTTTTCTTTTTGTAAATAAGTAAATAATATTGGCTTCCTAAAGAGATAAAGAGAGTAGAAATTAACGTTTTTCCGATTTCGACGGTGGTGCCTGTGATTTTTCTTGTTCTCTTTGTTTTTGTGATGGTAGAGGTTGTTGTTTTTGTTGTTGGTTATTTTTAGTTTTAATAATGAATACATCGTCTTCACTTACACGACCTTTTTTATTCGTATTAGCCGCCGTCGATTTCTTAGACTGTTTTTCTTTATCCAGAGGTATAAATTCAGATGAATATTCAAATGGCAATAAATCATTTTTTCTGTGCTTTCTATGAGTTGATGATCTATTTCGGTTGTTATTCGATCGATAGGTATTATTTGTGTTATGTGAATTATCACGTTGACGACTATAATCTCCATCATATTGTCGTGGTCGACGATAATGCTGCTGTTGCTGTTGTTGTTGATAGTTTTCTTGTTGTTTCCTGTTAACATCGGTTGGACGGCTTCTTGATACACTCACTCGACGTATTGTTTCATCACTTGTTGTAGATGAACGAGAGCTAGAAGATTTTGACGTTGATGATGAAGAACTCGCATGTGATCTTCTATAACCTATTGCTGGTTTTTGACCATGTTGATTGAATAAACCACTCCAGTCTAAATTTCGCATTTGGCTATCAAATGATTCTTCTTCATAAATATTTGAATGTTGTGCGCGGCTCCGTTCACGATGATGGCTTTGTCCACGAGATTTTCTACCTCGATATCGAGGAATATCGTAGTACTGATGCTGTTCTTGATAGGGTACAATGGGATAGTTATTTGGTTGCGCTGCACCGTTATAACCAATGTAAGGTGGATATTGAGAATAGCCAGTACCATTAGGCTGATATGGAACCAAACCTCCTGGTATACCCTGATCGTACATGAACGGAGAAGGAGGCAAGAAATTCATTGGTTGTTGTTGGGGAGACATAAAATTACCAATATTCATCGGTTGTTGCATATTATATGGTTGTTGTTGAAACTGCCCATATTGCTGTTGTTGCATGCCACCATTTACATTTAATTTCAACAGTACGCAATTTGGAGGAAGTTGACCACCATTCATTACTGAATTGAATGCTTGCGCCATCATCTCTTGTATATTGTAATTTGGATACCCGTAGCTCATTTTATCAAAATTATTGTTAGCAAAGAAATTGGATTAACCTGAAAAATAGTTAACGCAGAACAGATTGACATATGAAACAATGGTGAAGCTCATTTGTTTTGTATAGTTGAAGTATTTGAAATGGCAGTCATGTTGTTTAAAGTTCAGAGACGTAGAATTTTGTTCAATTTTAATATGAACGAAGTTACATATTTTAATTTTCAGAAGTGGATGTAAATTCTGACTATTGCAAATCTTGAAGAAAAGACGAGACTTATTTTAAACTTAGGAATATGTGTAAAACGAAAGTTACTATCATGCAGCACAAGGTTAACGTCTATAGCAGGATTATTGGTTTATCTAACAATTTTGATATCTACATTTGTATGTTTTTGTAATGTTATCGTGTTTCATAGGAAGCCTCATCTGATTGTGAGAAAAATCTGTAAAGTACGTACTATGTGAAGATGATAATGAACTACTTTGAAATCATTGAAATTTTTACAATAGACTAATTATTATCTCAAATGATATGAAACGACCATCGTATGACAAAAATTTTCTGTTTTTAAAACCATAAAAGATATGTTAATACCGTTACTATTCAAATGATCATACTTCTATTTTTTTCTCTCTTTCTGTTTCTTGCCAGGATTAATAAAGAGACGATTCATTTTGATATGTCTCTCTTTCTCTTTCTCTCATTCAAATCTGTTAGTTAATATTAAACTATTTTTTTTTCTAATTAAAAAAAAATACTACATACCAATGACTTCCTTGAAAAAAATTAATGAGCAATAACAATTAGACTACGTGTGAAAAAATATGTAATAAATACACTCTTTTCTATGTTTTTTTCGTTTAAAAATAATTAAAAGAAACAAATAGAATATAGTTGACAAGAAATATTATCTAGCAGTGAGAGAATTAATAGGTTGTACTCCTCAAAATGTGTACAGTACCGCCGTAAATAGATGAAAAAAGTTGATCAAGCTTTTCCTTGAACAAATGTTTGTAGGTGATGAGAAGAAGAAGACGAAAAAATGTTCAGGGCTGAAGAACTTCTAATTAAGTTCACTTACGTACATATATCCTTCCATATTTTAACGCTTCATTGGTCATATATACCTTGAAAAATTTTTCTATTTCTCCACACTAATTTATAGAAATCATGAGAAAATTAATAAGAAAAAAAAATTAATTTTTTTCTCTCTTTATATAAAGATATACAGAATACATAATGACAAGTTAGATAGAAAAAAAATTATTAAACGATATAATGATGACTGAATTTTGTGGTTAAAAGACCGTGGTTAAAGACCGTTATATGTCATAAGTCATTTGTATCCATATTGTATGGGTTGTGCGTGAAACAGGTGTATCTCATACACAATCATATTCATGCAGTTTTTTTCAAAAATGATGGCCATCATGTAGAATTGGGTGAATGATATCATATTAATATTCCAAATTACCATCTTATTGTTTTATCATAAGAGTAAAAAAAATACTAATTTAAACTTATATGTATATTTACATGTTAATCAAAAGCAGCGCCTATCTTTCACTAAATCAATCAATTAATATGTAACTAAGCTACATATAACACAATCATCTTTTTTCTCATACAATCGTTATGATCTACCTTTCTCGCGATAATGTCATATCCTCCTAAAAATCGAAAATCTTTTTTTCATACGGTGATATTTAGTTCCATACGCTTTTTTTTCCTATAAATAGTTAATAGTTCATGTGTTCATGGCTAGAGAAAAGAAAATTCATTTATTAAAGAGAAAATTTAGTAACACCAACGAATCATCACTCTGTGGCAAACGGAGATCACAATTAGTTGATGATCAAGTAACAGTTTCAAGTGTTTGTGTTAATTTATCTTCAATGTATAAAAATAATATAAATAATTCATTTATTAAACGAAAATCATCACCGTTAATATCTCATAGACGAGCTAAAAGTGAAATATGGAAATGGAAAAAATTAAATCCGTCAGTCACATCGTTAGGCACTTATCTAAACCAATTGAATCTTTCTATGCAAGATGTTATCGAATTGAAGCATGCACTAGCAACAATAGTTCAGATTATTATTCTACAACAACAACAACAACAACAAACATTGGTGGCAATTAATGAAAATCAAAAGATGAACTCAACATTAAAACGTCGTCTAACAAGTCCATATTTAAATCAAGAAAAAATTGACAATGATAGTGATGAATGTTTACCCATTTATACCGATGATTTTTATATTCGAAATGGTTTATTAAATCATAATAATGGACCCGAAATTCATGATAGTATTTATTCAATTGTAAATCCATTGTATAATTCAAATTATTTAAAACCAATTATTCATCGACGTCATAAATCGCTAATGTCGTGTCAAGAACAAGCAGAAGAATCAACATCAGCAACATCGTTAGAATTAACTAATAACAATCGAGATAATGTATCAACATTGTTAACAAGTAACTTTTATAATCAACATCAATCAGAAATGCAACGTTCACTAACATACCAATTATCAACTCTCATAGACGAACATAATAAAGATTTGAATAACGACATTGACAATGAATCGACGATTCAACGTACAAACAAAGTAAAACGTTGGGAACGAAAAATGCCACAATATATGAAAAACAGAAAATATCATACATATACAGTGATAAAAAAACGTCAAGAAAATGTATCTAATATTGAAACATCCTTAGTTTCAGTGCATCAAAACAGTAACAATACATTAATAACAATAGAATCAAGTTTACCTTCAATTAGTCAGAAAGAAACAGAAATCGTGGAAACAAATAATTATTTTAAATCATCAAATACTAGAAAAAGTCAAGTTAACAAGTTATTTGACAATTTATTTCCAATGGTTAGAGCTCTTGGTATGTGTAATCGAGACATCTATTTAATATTCGATTGTACGATATGTGACATGAGACTTTATGTAGATCTTCTAACTATTAATCTTCTAAAACAAAACAGATATAACACATAACAATTGCACCGCTTACAAATTATTTGCACTCTTCCTTCATTTAGCACCGTTGATTATAGTTCGTGATAAACCGTTTCTATTGAAAAATTATTCTTATTATGACGATAGTTTGATGCATACATCTAATTTGCATCATCATCATCAACATAATTCAAAAACATCAATTTCGTCCAAATATCTGTTACAAAGTGATGAAAATCTAACAAAGAAATCATCAATTTTAACTGTTTTAAATAATAATAATTTGGTTTTAAGAACAACAACCGATCAAAAGAAAGAATTACCGTTACAATCGTTATCAATCACATCAAATAGAAATTTAGCTCTATTCGATTTACCAGTAACAACTAGAAAGAATATTCGCAGCAAAATGCCTTTAGTTCAGAATGAAATAATAGTAAAATCAGTTCAACAACTACCGTCACCACCAACTAAAAGTAATTTACTGATTGATTTTGAATCAGTTCTGACCGTTATTGAACAAAGTCAACAAAATCTATCACGGTTTATTGATTGTTCCTTGTCACCTAATTAGCAATATGATTAAAAACATTAATATTTTGTAGAATTTCATTTATGATGTCTTGATTTAAAAAGAATATTGTGGTTATCCAGTATACCCGTACAAACATCAAAACATTTGATATCGATACTGTAATACATGCTGTGTAATCAAACAATAAACAGGGTAGAGGCAATTGTTCTGAAAAGGACGGGGGCCGATAAGATACTGACCAGTTTTTTTTCAACTGCGTACCACGTAATCAAGTGCGTTCACTACGGTAAGTGTCGCCGCGTAATAAAAGATGAACAAAACAATAAGCAATTGTTGCATCTTCGTCACGTACTACTGCCA